CTCCTGACTCCAGTCTCCCGCAGAGCACTGTGTGCTCTTAATTGCTGACTCATCTCCCTGGCACCTTGAAACAAGTATTCTAACCTCGCATTTGGGGGAAAAAAAAATTTGAGGCAAATATCCAAAATATAAAAATAACTCAAAAAACTAGATAGTAAAAAAACAACCCAATTAAAAAAATGGGGTACAGATCTAAACAGAGAATTCTCAAATAGCTGAGGAACACTTAAAGAAACATTCAACATCCTTACCTACCAGGAAAATGCAAATCAAAACTACCCATCAGAATGGCTAAGATCAATAAAACAAGTGACAGCTCATGCTGGTGAGGATGTGGAGTTAAGGGAACAAGCATCCATTGCTGGTGGGAATGCAAACCTGTACAGCCACTATGGTGTTCAGTGTGGTGGTTCTTGAGATGGGAATTGATCTACCTCAAGCACCAGCTCTATATACTTTTGGGTGTATACCCAAGGCACTTTATCCTACCACAGAGACACTTTCTCAACCATGTTCATTGCTGCTCTATTTATGATAGCCATAAATGGGAAACAATCTAGATGTCCCTCCACAAAAGACTGGATAAAGAAAATGAGGTATTTACACAATGGATTATCCTCAGCTGTTTAAAAACAATGAATTTAGCCATTCAAGATAGGTGTTAAGGTGGAAGCTCAGGATCATTTTGATTTGCATTTCCTAAATGACATAGGAGGTTGAGCATTTCTTTTGTTTCTCTGCCGTTCGATATTCCTCTGCTGAGAATTGTTTAGCTCTGTACCCCATTTTTTATTTAGATTATTTGGATTGTTGGTGTTAAAGTTCAATTCTTTATATATTCTGGATTTTAGCCCTCTTGTCAAATGTAGGGTGACATCAGAAGTAGGAGAAGACAAGGAACAGGACAGGAGCGTTCCACAGGGGCCTCTGAAAGACTACACACCAGGGTATTGAAGGAGATACTGAAACACACAAACTTTGGGCAGAGTGCTAGAAACCTTATGGAAGAAGAGGGAGATAGAAAGACCTGGAGGGGACAGGAACTCCACAAGGAGAACAAAGCCAAAAACACCTGGGCCAATGTAGCCTGCAGAGACCTGATATTCGAACCAAGGACCATGCATGGAGTGGACCTAAACCCAGGCTCAGAGGAAGCCCATTGCGCCATCGGCGGCTCAGTTTCCAAGTGGGTTCTCTAGTAAGGGGAGCAAGAGCTGTCTCTGACATGAACTCAGTGGCCTGCTCTTTGATCACCTCCCCCTGGGGGTGGGGGTGCAGCCTTGCCAGACCACAGAGGAAAATGATACAGCCAGCCTTTGATGAGACCTGATAAGCTAGGGTCAGATAAAAGGGGAGGAGGTCCTCCCCTATCAGTGGGCTAGGGAAAGGGCATAGGGGAAGAAGAGGGAAGGTGGGTGGGACTGGGAGAAGACAAGGGAAGGGGCTACGGCGGGGATACAAAGTGACTAAATTTTAATTAATTAAAATTAAATGAATTTTCAGGTAAATGGATAGAACTAGGAGAAAAAAAAATCATCTTGAGTAAGGTAATCCAAACTCAGAACCACAGAGATTAGGTAGAGTAGGGGACTAAGGGGCAGATACATCTCCCTAGGAAAAGGAAATAGAATAGCTATGGATGGATGGGGAGGGATGGTACAGGAGGATCAAGTGGAGAGGGGAGAAAGGGAGTGGGGGGGGTATGAGAAGAAATATGGGGAGAGACAGCTAAAATTAAGGGCCATTTGAAGGACAGTACAGAAACCTAATAAAGAAGCTTCCTAATATATATATATATATATATATATATTAGGAAGCTTCTTTATATAGGTGATCTAAATGAAATCACCAAATAATGGAGACAGAGCCCCAAATGGCCATCTCATCACCAATGAAACTTCCAGTACTAGGACTGGATTACATCTAACCAAGCTGTTGACCAAATGGTTCCCATGGGAACCCCCAAACAAGGATGTGGCCAAGACTATGGGTTCCTTTCTACAACTGACTCCAAGGGAGTCTCACTAGGGAAACAAACTCTTTAAGAACAGGCTGCATGCCCAAAAGACAAACCCAATGCCATCCTTGGAGGTTCCTTGTCCCACAACGTTTTCTTTTTACTCTACAAGTCTTCTGCATATATATTATGGCTTCCAGTTTATAAGTTTTGTTGTGGATTACTGGTGTGTGCAAACAAATGGATCTTTTACTTGTGCCTTCTCTTGGGCTCTTTTCCTCTGTTTGTTCTGCCCAATTCTGATGTTAGTTTTGGTTTTATCATTATTATACTAATATCTCTTAGAAGCCTGGTTGTTTTCTAATGAGAAAGGAAAAGGAATAGATCAGTTGGGATGGGAGATGGGGAGGAACTGGGAGTAGAGGGGAAACCATAATAAAGATATATTGTGTGAGGGGGGGGGAAATGTTTTAAAAGGCCTGAAAAAAAAAAGTGTGGATGGATGGGTGGAAGGCCTGCTTCTCTGTTGGCTTAATGACAGATGATCTTGCTTGTTGAAGGATACTGGCAGAGTGTTCTCGTGTCTAGTGAAGGCCAGTCCTCTTTGAGGTGGAAAGTATTTTCTTCCCTTTGGTTGATTTAACATGGGTCGTATGGCCTACCACAAGTTTCTGCTGTAGTCTGTGTATGCTGACACACTTAACACAACACACAGACCTGTACTGTACATGCAGTCTTTCAGGAAAGCTTCTGGAAGCACTATGTATCTTCCTATCATCCCATTCTCTGAACTACAACACTAATGTGTTTCACAACGTAATTCAAGCTCCCTACCCCAATTACTACCTGCAGACCATATTGAGTACATTTCTTTTTAAATTTATTTTTACGTGTTTTGCCTGCATGTATGTGTGTTTGAGGGTGCCAGATTCTCTGGAAGTAGGGCTAGTTTTGAGCTGCTATGTGGATGCTGGGAATTGAACCTGGGTCCTCTGGGAAGAGCAGCCAGTGTTCTTAACCGCTGAGTGCCCTCTCAAGCCTCTCCTTGAGTAAATTTCTAAAAGTAGAATTAGTGATCTTAAAACCTTATGTCAACAATTGCTGATGCTCATCCAAAAAGGTAGGAGGAGCTGTGGGGAGCCTGTGTAAGAAAGCTGTGAAGTTCTTGCCGCTACCTCAGAGAAGGCTGCTTCTTGGGAACCCTCCAATCTATTCCATTCTGCTGCAGCTTCTTTCAGTTGCTGAAACTGATTGAATGGAATTAAGGGATCTGCAGTTCAAGCCCAAAATTACCAGAGCTGCACTTTGCTACCCAGCAGTACCAGTGTGTTGTGCTTTGGTGCTCCCATGTGATATTCTTAAAAGGAAGAAATGAACTTTCTGAACAGACAGCCTGAAGTCCAGATAAATGGAGCACAGAACGACCACCAAGTGTTCCAGGCTGAAGGAACAATAAAGGAAGCTAGGCAGGGTACTTGAACAGAGCAGGCCCAATAGGGCCACAGTTGGTTCCCAAGGTAAATTTGAGAATTATTTTAAAACCAACTTCACCGTTAGCTCTTGTGGTTGGGATGCAGCTCAGAGAAAGAGTGCATGTTTGGATTTGGTGTCCAGCACAAAAAACTTAAAAACTATATACAGTAGCTAGAAAACATTTTTTAATCCGAGTTTAACAGAAAATAGCTTCCCTAAAACATTCTAACTGCACTTTTCTCTATTTGCCTATAGTCAGCTTACTTACTTTTCTCAAGATTGCCATATCTGTCCCCAAAGAAATGCCCTATAAAGGAAGATTGAGAGCACTGGCTGCTCTTCCGGATGATCTGGGCTCAATTCTTTGCACCCACATGGTGGCTAACAACCACCTGTAATTCCATTTCCTGTGGAACTGACGTCCTCTTTTGGCTTCTGTGGGCATCATGCATCCACGCTACACATATATATTTGCAGGCAAAATAACTACATACAAAAAAAATAAAAAAAGAAATGCCCTATAAGGAAGTTTACATCATTTTTGACAATGTTCAGTTGCATACAGTGGTAAGCCATGTCTTTCACACAATCAAACTCACAAGGCCAGTTTAGAAAGTATCTGGAGGAGATGTAGTTGCCCTTCACAACTCCTACCAACTTCAGGACACCAGGAAAGAAGGCAGGAGTGTGCTTCATAGATGATCATCTGGGAGTCAAGAGTGGACAACAGTCTGGACTGCAGGGACAGGATTCCCATTTAAATTCTGAATTGATGACAGCAACTCAATGACCCATGCCACTAATTCTCCGCCTCTTCCACCTTCTCCTTTTACACCATGGACAAAATCCTGTTGTTTCCTATCCATAATACAGACTGGATGTGAATTATTCCTTCAGAGCCCAGAAGTATTTAAACAATAAAATGGAGGTGGTTATAAAGCATTTCACATGCAGAAACATACTACCAAAATAATGCCGTGAAAGAATTGTCACAGAACTTAAAATAGCCACTCAAAATACCAAGAGATAAAAATTTACTATTTTAAGGGCTCTAATTTAAAATACAATTTCTCAGTTTATATGGAAACATTTTAATTAACAGTGAAATTTGAAAATCAGTTAGTCATATTAACAAAACACACTGGCTAAGGACTGTGTGATTTTTTTCCAACCAAAGCAAACATTTAGTAGTACAAAGCTTCTAGTCTCTTTGATGCACTGACTCCTGGTTATTATTCACTATGCTATATGATACAAATATTCTTTAGCGTACATAATTTCAAGCATTAAAGAGTACTTTCTTCCTTAACTTACCTGACTGAAGGCATCCAGTCAGAAAGGAAAAGTGAATAACTGTAATAAGTAGTTCAGTTTCTAAGTGAGTCCAGATGGTGACAAGAATTAAAACATGATTCTTTTTGAATGTTTAAATAAAAACAAATTTTACATTTTATTAAACCAGCAGATATAACCTCCTGGGTATAATTTTATTAGCAAAAAACTGATGATATTGATAATAAAAAAATGAAAGGAAAAAGGAAAATGCACCTCAAACCAGAATACCATAACATGTTTTGTGGAAGCTGCATTTTATTTGAAAATCCACCCATTTGCTAACATACATTTTAATATTGTAAACAAAAATAGAATCTGCAGAGACAATGCAACAAGTATGCTTAACTCATGTACAGAATTGCTTTCCTACAATGAACTGTCCTTCTTAAGGCCCCTCTCAACCCAAGCGTTAAGATGTATTTACAGAAAGCACCGATCAACAGTGCAGTTTAATTCTTCATTAACTAAACTCTTGGCTAGACATTGACTTTAAAGATACTATCTCCCCTTATTTAAAAGGTACATGATCATAACATGGCACACGCCAAATAAAAAGTTCAAGGATTTCTATCCCCCTCCCTTTCCCCATAACATCTCCTAAAGTTTTACTGAAAAGAAGGAAAGTCTTGTAGTGAAAGCAATTCCTCACATTCAATTGGAAAGGCCCTAATGTCAAATGGAAAATAATGACATGCCAAGCACAAAGCAGTAAGATCCTTCCCGATGCACTAATGCTGAATTTTAAATGTAGTGCTTTTCCTAGTCAGTGAACTGTTCCCTTGCAAAATCCTAGGCACAGAATTGACTATAAAGATTAATGCATGTATAATGCTTCCCTAAATCCCATAGAGACTGAGAATTCTTAACAGATTCAGACCTATGGATTTGCCTTAAAATATTTAGTGCTCTGTATGTCAGCTGAAAAGCATTCTGAATCAGATTCATTCTTGTGGATAAAAATCAAACATACTGTGAACATCCATACTCATTTTCTTAAGGAGGTCTGATATAATATTAATGTTATGTAAAATTGATAATCATAAATAAATACAAATACTTAAGGAATGTCTACTGCAAACTGAATATAATTATTTTTTTTTTTTCAAAAAAAGAAAAGTTAACTTCAATTATGGTTTCTGTATTTGTGAGGACTGGAGAAAAGAAATATAATGCATAATTAGAAATTACGATTTTGATCCCCAAATGAGTCCTGTTCAATTATGTACGGGTAAAGGACACAACTCTTCTCTCCAGGCAGCTTTTCCAAACACAAACTCCACACTTTCCAAGTATGAGCTTTTCTTGGTAGGTTACAGATTATGGGTATTAATAGGAGTTGAAAGAACTGAAGTGTTAGTCACCAAAAAGACAGATCTTAGTCTTAAATCATGGCAATTCTTGGCTTTATAAATGGTATTGACAACGCTCTCCTATAAACTAGTCCCATCCCCGCCGTGGGCCTTCATGGGTTACTGGAGCGCTCTAATGGAGGAAGAGTTTCAGAGACAGCAGTTTGGATTTTGCTGGAAGTAAGGAGTTGTCACCTGCGCATTTATGTTCTGAAATAATTCCATTCTCTTCCATTTTGTTACATAAACTGTATCTGGAAAAAGAAAGTTATGGTATAAGTTAGTTAACTCACTGCAGTATAGGACATATTCTCACAGTAAAAACACTGTGTATCTTCACCATTCAACCAGCCTAGAAATACTCTTAATATGGCTTATCATAGACCCTGATGGCAAAAAAATATAAATAAAAAAATGAAGCATCATCAGCTTCTAATGTGCCAGAACTCAATCAGTGAAGCATAGTCTAGGTATTAATTATCTTCCTAATTAGTAAAAAGCAGGAAGTAGTGGAAGCAAGGGGAGAAGACCAATAAACTTTTCCTTAAGTTAAAAACATTTATCCATAAGCACAAATGTACCATGTAACTCTTCTGCAAAGTGTCAAGTATTTCCAAAACACATATAATTAGAGAATAAAATAAAATAATGTTGCATTGATTCCATTCTTTACTAATATAATTAAAAATCTGTAGTATTTATAAAGGAACACTATTCAGTCAGGAGTCATTGTTCACTCAAAAACCTCCTCATTTCTCTTCAACTGCCTATATACAGCTAAAACTGAGGTGGATGTGCTTGTCAAATAAGAGTACAAACTGCCAAAGTCCTAGATGGTAACTGTAAACTGGGGCTGGAGCTTTAAGAATAATAAATTAAACTGTCTTTCAGAAGATAAAACGGGTGTGGATCATAAACAGAGATCCTTTTAGTCAAAGACCAAAGTATTCATTTGTCCTTAATTATAAACAAGCTGTAGCTGGTAGGCAGTGGAAGGAGAATCTCTGTGAGTTTGAGGCCAGCCTGGTCTACAGAGTGAGTTCCAGGACAGAAACCCTGTCTCAAAAAACCAAAAGCAAAAAAAGAAACCAAAACAAAAAACCAAAATGCTATTTTTAAGCTATTATCTTAAACAAAGGGAATACATAAAATGCAACTCTTTAAAGAAATTACATCAACAGATTTTTATCATGAGCCACAGCTGTTATACTAAAACTAAAGCTACTCCTAACCAAGATGTATTACACTCTGTGAATGTGGGGCATTCTCCACAATTCTTTTAAGAATGACCAAGCCCCTCATTTTTCAGGGTGATATTTGATTACACCCAGCAGCTGGGAGCAGTGGATGCTTTTGCATTAAGATGGTTGGTTCCTGATCTCACACATTTTAATTATGTTAAAGCTAAGTTCCAAAGGTGGTTTCTTCTTTTGTCCTAGCTTGAACTATTTTAATTCTTTACATAAAGACCAGAAGAAGAGGAGGAGGCAGCTAAGGCACAGAGGGAACGCAGACTCCTTTAATGAACAAAGGAGAAGGGTGCATGGCGTTCAGTGCTGGCAATCTTTGCTTAAGTATCCACGTCCCCATCTCCCCCACACGAAGCAATACCTAAGTGACTTATAAGAAGTCCTCCAGAGAGAGCTCTGCAAAGGGGTCCTTTCCTGCAGCTCTGTGAGGACTGTGCCTGGAGGGGCTGGATGCTGCCGACAGCTGGGGGAAAGAAGACAGAGACAGGGGAGAAAAAGATCTCAGAATGACAGAACATGAGAGCAGAAAGCGTAATGAAGGAAGAGGTGTTTTGTCACCTTTAATAAATATAAAGGTAGCCTTTGTAGAAAATGGAATTTTAAAAAATGTTATTGCATGTCAAGTTAAAAGACAGCCAATGGCATGTTTTCCAGGAAACAAATGTGTGCCTTTGAAACATGAAATGAAAATCTTTTATCCATAAAAACTGACATAAACTAACCTACAGCCAACAAGACTTTTAGTGTTAGGGAGGAGAAAGGGAGTACAGGAGAAAGGATGCATAATCATGTGATTTAAAGAAAAAAAAGTGAAGTTGATTTCTTGAATCCAAATATCTGTCCACAGTTGTGCAAAATGACCTCCGCTCAGATCCCACATTTCCAAATGTAATATCCCTTTCCTGCTGTTTTCCCACAGGGTATAAAGTCCTGCTGCCCTAAGGTATCTCTCTTTTTAGACAAACAGGGCTTACCTCCTGCTTTTCTATCTGGACACCCTGGAGCTGGGCGCACACACTATGGGAACTAATCAGAGAAAGTTCTGAAAGAGGGAAACAAGGCAAAGTCTCTGCTTTGTTTCCAGTCTTAATATATTAGATTTTTGTCCCTTCTTTTAATTTGAAGATGAAGTTGACCATTGCACCAACTAACATTATCTTTACTCCCAAAGACAGTTAGTTTTCCTGAACAATTAAGATGTCACTGTGCGCTCATGCAAGCACTTCACCAAGCTGACTTAGGAACTATTTTAAACCCAACACAAGCTACTTTTAGTTTGGAAAATACTTTTATTCTGTTTCTCCCTCACTACAGGGATCACAAGAGCTTGCAATCACAGGGCCATTATTTAAAGAACTGTTTTTAGGAGATGCTAAGTATTAAAATTGGTTAAGTAAAACAATTTCAATTCATATTTCCAACAGTCACATAAAAAATTTGAAGTCACAAAAAATTCTCTTTGCTAGTTTAATAATTATTTAATCTCTCTTTCTCTTTTGTTTTTGGAGACAGGGTTTCTCTGGGTCGCCCTGGCTGTCCTGGAACTTGCTTTGTAAAACAGGCTGGCCTCAAACTGAAAAGAGACCCACCTGCCTCTGTCTCCCAAGTGCTAGGACTAAAGGCATGTACCATCGCTGACCAGCTATTTCATCTCTTTCTAAGTTTTACTTTTATGTTTGCTTCTTCGCTTCCGTTTTGTTTTAAAGAAAGGCACCATAAAGAATGATTAGCCAATGAGTTTCAGGAAGTATTACCTCAGCGGTATAAGCAATTGGCCATTTAGGGCATTATAACCAACTTATAAAATTGAAAATCATCTTTTGTTTTCCTGGTCATCAAGATTTCCCCAATCTATGTACTGTTTTAGAAATAACATGTTCAAAGACAGTAAGAAGAGATGGTAGGAAGAAAAATGGATTTGCACATGCAGCTACAGATGGGAAGGCAGGGCAACATGTCTGTCCTGCCTCGAGACTGTAATACCTGCCACTCCAAGGTCAGAGTAAAGTGAAACCTAACTGGAAAGATGCCCCAGCTTTCCGCCTTGAGCCTCTAAATGGATGACTATTCAGAAGGAAATTATTTCAAATACTCATATTAATCACTGAGTTATAAGGGGTAAACATTCATACTTTCTTCTATTCACTTATAAACAAATTTTCTTTTTCATTACAAGTTAAAATATATACCATATCTAAACGACATTCACACTAAAGTGTCTTCTTAAATCATGTTTTTATGAGGTCAATAGTTTGAAGAGCTGACAGCACCAGAAGAAAATGTCCCCGAAGAATACAAAAAAAAAGACACTACCATTCTAAATACATGAGCACACTGCCAGGAGCCCTACAATTTAAAAATACTGTTCAAAGGGGTTAATCTAACCTTGGGGAAAAAGTCCTTTCTTACCCCAACACCTGCTAGTCTTACAGTGGTAAAACAGGTACTGATATGTCTTTTGTGTACACTAGTAATATTAAATGCTTGAGGCCACCAGTGAAAAGAACAAAACTCAGTATCTGTCTCTCACTAAGTTTCTTAGCACCCTTCCCCTGAAATAGGTGACACCACAGTCCAGAGTGGTCTGGCTGCTGCACTACTCCAGGGTCTGGGACACCCAGTGGCCATTAGCACCTCCCTAACAAAAAGCACAGACATAGCCTGAACTGGTGGGAAAGTAGTCAGATGAAGGGGGGAATAAGGAAGGACAAGACGGGGCACGCTGTCCACATTACTACTCAAGGAAAGCAGGAAGAAGAAAAGGGATGGAGGTGCAAAGACACTCTAGGGGTTAAGACATAGCAGGATTTTAGGTCTGAAGAAGTCACCTGAGAATGTTCTGACCCTCTTTTACTTATCATTTTTTGAATAAACTAAAGAACCTAGCTTAAAGCCTCCAAGGAACACACACAAAATATAAAAGTAAATATACTACAGGAAAAAGAATTTTTAAAAACTCAGCTTGCCAGAACTCATCACAAAATCAAATTTACAAACTGGCATAAAATAATCACAATTGACTATCATAAACACATCATTACAAAAATGTGTAACAAACAAAATTACAACAGAAAATACCTTGACCTGTTTTTCCAAATAAGCTACAGAGTTAGTATAGCCGAGTCAGCTCAAATCAAAGTGATTTATTTCACAACTAAAGACATTGCCTTACTTCTCCAAAAAACAGTTTCTTTTATTCATCGACAGAAAAAGAAATTCTGCAAATAGCACCATATGAATAAAAATATTACGATTTATAAGTAGTTGATGATGGTAACTCTTAACTGAAATTCCTCCCCCTTTCTAATCGATCTTGCAAAACACTGCTGCCTGAAAAACCATGTTTAAGCCCCAGAACCAACGCCACAAGGCTACTCACAAGGTTATCCTCTGACATCCATACACCTAGCCCAGCACATACCTCTATTCCCAATGTACACATACATAATTTTAATTAAAAATACATGCTAAAGTGAAAAAAAATCATGTATTTCCAGAACACTCTTTGCTTCAGAGTGGAGTTGCCTGGTTTCTTTCCTGTCTTGGTTATAGAGCGTTCAATGGAGATGGAATAGTGAAATCACAAATTAACAAAAGACAAAGAAATACTTTAAAATATACTTTGAACTGTACTTCAAGAAGCTGACAAGTATAACATCTTAAAATAAAAATGGTTGCCTCATTATTCTAGTTTTGCACCAAAGAAAAAACTGCAGGTTAGAAGAAAAAAATAGCTCCAGGTTCAGAGAGCTAGGCTCCAACAGTATAATGAGAAGCTGAGGGGGTAGTTTGTAAACCAAAGAGTCACATAAGGATACTAATTTCCAGGTCAGCCTGGGACACTTAGTTGAACTTTGTCTCAAAATCTGTAAGTTAACTTTAAAAGTGGGTTGAATGAAGAGTTATAGCTTGGGGACAGAAAATTTATTGAGTATGAAGGTGATGCTGGGTTCAATCCCTAGTTTATAGAATAAAATGTTTCAGACATTAACAGCTTTGTACCTAAAGTTCTTAGGGAAAATCTGGGCTCAGTGCCATTGCCTGTAATCAAGAAGCAAGAAGTTCAAGGTCAAACATGGGTACAAACTATTGTAGAACTGCTCAAAAACAAAAGCAGATACATACATATACATACATACAAATAAAATAAATAATAAATAAACACACTCCCTTATATCCTTACAGTTTAATTTTCCACTCACTCAAAAAACTGAATAGCACGCAAGTATCAAACTATAGACCTATTTTGATTTTTCTATATAAACAAAGACAGGCACTCAAGAGAAAACTGGGTGCTCTTTCTTGGCCTGGAATGACTCACAAGGAATTCACAGAAAGATAAACTGAATTGAATTTGAGCTCACTTATAAAATGGGGTTTGGAATACTTAAGCCCAATACTTGTAACCCATAAATCTGTAATTCAAATATGACTCCATTCATCCCTAGCACCTACCATCACACACTCAGCTATGCTTATGCAAGGTTCTCAGCAAAGTCACTGCATCTGGGTAGCTCTTGGTCTATTAAATTTGTAGCAACCATCTCTCTCAGAAAAGTTCACTTTACTATTCATCATTCATATGTGGTTCCAAATGGCACTCACCTTTAGGTTCCTCAGGTGAAGGCAATTTATTTTACCTCTCTTGTTCACTGACTAACATATATGACCATTCTACAATGTATTAAAATGTTTTTGTTGATAAAACTTTCTTTAAAATGTCCTACAAATTCAGATAAGAGGAAATGAGAGCTTCTCTAATTTTCAAATTTACCAGCTTAAATTTTTTATTTTACATCTAATGTGTTTAGTAATGTAGGAATATATTAATTCAACCTATAGAAATATGGAGGGTATGAATGATCAAAGGCTAGAGACAAATCTGTTCCTATAATAATGAACCCACTGGCCTTTATATATCATCATCTTTTCTAGTTCATGAAATTGGAGTTTACATACTCTTGAGAGCCCTACATTTGGATACTAATAATTACATCCACTTCCTTTGTCTTCTCCTCCCTTTTTTCCTTCCTTCTCTTCACAGTGTTAAAGATAAAACCCAGGGCCTTCTGAATGCTGGGCAAGTGCTGTACCACTGAACTGTATCCTCAGCCCTTAAATCAACCAACTGATTAGCCCCCCCCCCCCCGTGCATACATGCTTGTGCATACACACAGCAGTCCATTCTACTATAGGAGTGGCTGTATGTTTCCAGTTCTCTGCCCTCCTACTGTTATGAAGTGCCAAGAAAGATCTAGCAAGATGTTGGTAGCTTGACACTGGATTCCCTACAGAAACAAATTTCCATTCACTGTTCATTACTCAACCTGTGTGTTTTGTTCAGTAACAATAATAAAACACATTCTCTTAAAGCTGATGTCATAAAAATATTTAGAGACTACAGACAGTACTATTCCAGGATTCCAGAGATATCTGAGGCTCAGAAATAGTAAGTTGTTTCAGGGTGTTTGGAACACAACCAGATCAGTAGCAATATATCCAAATAAATATACAATGTTTCACACCATTAGTTTTCTATTAAAGATAACCCCATTCTTTGGTTGCCTCTATGATCAGCAAGTGGCAAGGATAGATCCTTTTCTAGAGGATGCCTAATGAGGGCAGCTTCATTAGCCTTTGGAATAACTGCTGCTATATTGAGATATGAAGCTTGCCATACTTTGTTATGGCTGCTCTTGGAAACTAACAGACGCTAATGTACATTTTGCAGACTCCAAGATTGCTACCTTTTTAGATCTTAAAATTAAATTTAAATTCCTGTGTATTTTAATGCAAATCTTCCATGATATTTAACTTATAGGAAGAAGTTTAAACGATACTATCAGAGCTGGAGAGGTGGCTCAATGGTTAAGATCACTTTCTGTTCTTAGAGCGGATTTGGGTTAGATTCCTAAAATACGCAAGTTGACGCAAAACTGTGTATAATTCTAGTTGCAGGGGAATCTGATGCCCTCTTTGGGCCTCTGTGAGCACCATGGAGGAACATGATATATAGACATGTAGGCAAAAATACAATAAATTTTAAGTGAGACTGTGGAACTTTTAAGTTTTCTGGCACACATTAGAAAAATCAATATATTCTCATGCTTTCTATTCACATAGAGCTACTGAAGTTCACTATGATGATACTATAAAACTTTGGCAACCCAAGGTCTTATTAATACTTGGCTATAAGACAAATTTGGATTTAAAAAAGAAAACCTAGGAAGTAAGGCCTTACTCTGCCCTTGTCTTACTAACAACAGAGGTCATAGATGAGGCTCCTAATATTTTTGAGGACTAACTGGTATATAATGAGGGCCACAGAATAATTTTTTAATATATGGCACTAAATCTGATTTTCTCATGGCACTGTAAAATGCTAAGTAGGAAGAGATAAATGGGCACAAAAAACTGCTAGAAATTTAAATGGCTTTCTTCACTAAGATTCAGCTGGACAAATCAGCTGAGAACTATCACTACCAACATGCAAGATTAGTACACCAAGACACAAGTAAATGGATGAGTAAATAATAAACACACAATGCCTAAAAGCAAAGCGTCATTGTTTTCTACAAGGAGAGTATTTAAAAGCTCCCCTTTCCCTTTTTTTTTTTTTTTTAAAGATTTGTTTATTATGTATACAGTGTTCTGCCCGCATGTATGCCTGCACAACAGAAGAGGGCACCAGATCTCATTATAGATGGTTGTGAGTCACCATGTGGTTGCTGGGAATTGAACTCAGAACCTCTGGAAGAGCAGACAGTTCTCTTAACCTCTGAGCCATTTCTCCAGCCCTCCCCTTTCCTTTTCAAGACTTGAATAAATCCAGTACCTAACGCTAGCAGTGCCTTTATTTATTATAGTAAACACACTCGCAAATCAGTGTTTCTCAGACACTTAACTGATGTCAGACTTGATTAAAATTGTCTACTGCAAACACGACAACAAAAACACATAGCCATTTTGAATCTTTAGCCATATCCTCCTTAAACTAGTAGTACTCCTACTCCATTAAAAAAAAAAAAAGAAGCATAGTTAATGAAGGGACCAACAAAACTTTTAAAATATCATTTTAAAAATAATATTTTAAAAACCAAACACACCTGTTTAATTCTGCACTTCAACACAATGTAAAGCAACACAAGGTCCTCATAAAGATGTGATAAGAATATAGCAAGCCAATAACCTTTGCCACCACCAAAAAGCTTCAACAACCTTTAAAACCATCATCATGTACTCATTAATAGTCATTTTCTATCACAGCAACTTTGAAAAGAAAATGACACTAGGGTAACTGGCTTTCTGCTTAAGTGACATAATACTTACATGGCAAATGATGATTTTACAAATTACTTTTCATCAATGAACATTGTAATTTATAGAAAACAGTAAAATGTGTTTAAAGTACAAGTTAAAACAGGATGTAAGACCCCTATTCTCCAAGAATAACTAACAGACTCAAGAGAAAGCACAGAAAGATAGAAAAAAAATAAAAGATGTATGAGGATCCAGCATTTTCTACATATACATCTGGGAAAATGCAAATATTAGATACAAAACAAAGACCTTAGTACTCCTCTATAATGAGCAAGTGAAAAAAAGCTCTAAAAGGTCCTGAATGATGCACAAGCACAAAAGCAGAGGCAGGGAGTGGTGCTCGGCTGGGATATAGCCTAGTATCACAGCTTATGTTCAGCATACATAAGAGCATGGATCAATGATGGTAATACCCAAAAAGGATGAAATATGAAATGGTCTCCTATCTACTGCTGCCATCAAATACACTAGATTCAGGCTGAATATACACTTACTAGGATACTGTATGCCCTAGTAAGCCTACTACATATGGCATTGGAAAATGAACTCAAGCTAGCTGCCGAATATTCTGTTTTTCAAATAAGCTTCAAAATTATAGTCTACCAACTTTTTGACATTGACAACCATCTAGGAAACCAAGGACTGCACAATTATATGTGATGAGCAGAGCCGCAAATGAGGATTAGCTATCCTTCACTTTGTAAGGGCCTATCAAATAGCATCTAATAAACAAAATCCAAACTGCTAGACTCCACCCCACCCCCCATAAAATTAAGAGGAGCATTTAGGATAACTATCAGGAACAGGGAGAGCATAAGAAGCATTTATGAAGGAAGTCTCTCTTCTACAGAACCTAAATCAATGTGGCCTTTCTGGTGGTTCGCCCCCCCCCCCCCCTTTTAGCACAGTCCTCAGTGACAAAAATTTACCTCATCAAAAATATCAGCCAAACTTTCTTTAGGCTTTCTAAGAGTCTGCAGACATCCCAGATAACAGCAAACCCAAGCCATTAGCTATGATCTCATGTTGACCCCATAGGTTTAAGGGTCTAAATGCAAAGATCACAAAGAAACAAGATTCCTGGAAAAACCACAGCAGGAAGTTCTAAGACATTCCCAACTATAAAACCTATAATCTACTTGTCACTTTTCTGGAATCAATATTTTGAAAAGTACTTGCTTCAGGAAGACAGAAAGTAATATCCACGACAAAGGGAAGGTTTGATTAAGTTCTTTCTTGAGTTGTTTAAGGTACTGTTAGTGTTACAGAGCCCTTCCAAATAAATGAGCATATAACAACAGTTCGGCACTACCTGTGCTCCTGATACAGGGCCAAAGGGGTTTGGTGGTCTCATGACAGGCTGGCTGTAAATTAAGGTTGGTTGTGTCATTACAGGCACACTTCCCATCTGAGGAGGCTGGAAAATAGAATAATATTAAGTTAAAAAATGTTGGCTCTCATACTCATTACTCTGGAAGAAGTAAACAAGAAGGCTAACAGGAGTGAAAGGTTGATGGTACCTTTGCTCTGACTATAAGGAAAAATTATTCTGCATGCATGTAAGACTAATGTCTACTTTTTCTTCTTCTCTTTTAACTATTTTCATATAAAGTTCATTCTTTAAAAGTAGCAAATATCTGGGTGGTGGTGGCATACATATGCCTTTAATCCCAGCGCTCAGGAGTCAGAGGCAGGTAGATATCTAGAGTTCAAGGCCAGCCATAGTATACAGAGCTAGTTCAAAGACAGTTAAGGCTACACAGAGAAATCCTGTCTTGAAAAACAAGTAGCAAATAAAGCCTAATTTTTTCTGTCCAATGAATTTACCAAACTTAAACTTTATTATAGTATAACAAAGAAATAACAAAGAAATATTCTAACCACCACTAACAACAATGAGAGAGAGAGAGAGAGAGAGAGAAAGAAAGAAAGAAAGAAAGAAAGAAAGAAAGAAAGAAAGGAAGGAAAGAAAGAAAGGAGAAAGAGGAACAGGAGGTGATGATAGTGGAGAAAAAAAGAGCTTCCCAAGTATCTACATTTTCTAGGTCTATATACAGAGAACACTGTAGACTCTGTATCTAAATGTTATCACATTTCAAAGCATGCCAATTACCTTTGTACATCAAATCAAGTTTGTCACTATGTAAAGGATCATAAATGATGGCTGATTTTGTGTACTCGTATGTGTAGGTGTATATGCATGTCCCTGTATGTATGGGTATATAAGCACATACTTGGAGGCCAGGGGTCACAACCTCATGTAACTGAGGATAATAGAATAAAGACTGTGGGGATGGGGAATGGTTCAGAGACTGGTTTTGTACTCCATCAAACACTCTCAAGAGAAAATCATTCCAGCCTATACCACACTAAATTTACCCCTATATAATTAAAGTTATATAACTACACAGTAGTAAGGTGGTATCACCTCACTAACTGTAACAAAATAGCTTGAAGCTAACAACATGTAAGTGAGTTTATAATAAAAAACAACATATACAGCAAAGTTACAAGGGGAAAAATAAGTGATTAGCACTGGGCACATTAATCAGCAAAACCTATTTACAACAACTATTCTAAAAATACTTATGGAAGCAATGATTAGATTCTTGGGCTAGTAGTATCTACAGGGCACTACATTTTTTTTTTTAAATCCAAGGTTGTAATAAATTATGTTAATAAATTACTCTATTTTCCAAAAATTATATTTAGAAATATACTTACAATTCCATATCCTATCATGCCTGTTGGTGTAGTAGCAGGATAGGCCATTACAGGGGGCGCCTGATATGGCAAAATAAAAAGTAAAAAGGAAATGTTAATTTCTGTATGTTATAAGTTTAAAGGATTGTCAGATTTCTATTTAAAACAAATTGCTAAGACAGCTATGATTAAGTGACATTTGTGATTACTAGTAACTGTCAATTAATTCTCAGTGAGAAAAAGATCTCAAAATTAGCAGAAAAACAAAATTGCTAAAAGAAAAAGAAATACCACTTAAGCTTAGACTCAGCAGTCGTCTAAGATCACAACATACTGCACAGCTTCCAAAGACTCTCACAGAGCTCTGCTTGAGGCCCTGGACCCCATTCCCAGCTCCACCAAAAATAAGCAAACACGTTAAAAAGTCTTCAGGTATTTAAAAATACCCAAATTTCCAAACTTTAAGGCCCATCATTTTCATAAAAATGAATTAATATGGACTGTTTCTTAATGTTTCTTTACTACTGGAAGGAAAAAAAGAAGAAGAAGAAAAAAACCTAACAATTCCACATCAATTGGTAATCTGATGTTCAAAGAACCATAGGAAGATGGCAAGTGACTATTCCTATGATCACAGCTTTCACGTAAGTAGCTGTATGACAGCTTAATAATCTGTTCCAAAACTATCAACTACTTAAGAGGAACAATCAAGTTCTAAGCTTATATTTTAATGATGACTCCTTGACCTACATTTTTTATTGATGACTTATAAATACACAATCTAGAAACAAACTGTTTACATACAGCTGCTGTCTTAACAATATTCCCTATGTTATCTCTCTCATAAAAGACTAAAACTGAACACAGGTGAAAGACCAATAACATAGCTAAAATATGTTTGAAAATATGAAAATATATAGTATTTTAAAATATGCATAAAGTTAAATGAAGCATAACTGTAAAAAAATAACACTAAAGAGTGAAGTTTAGTATTTAGGTGAGCATGTAGGGCGTATTGGTCTCTCCCTACTTCAAAACCAAGATATACAAGAGCAGTAAGACAAATTGTCAAGTACAGCAGAAGCCTGTAAGATTACATGCAATTGTTATTTTAAACATTACCACAATCAACATTTCCCTTCATTCAAGTCTCAAGTGCATGGTGGCAGCACAGATTCACACACAGACACCCAGCCATCTGGCAGCAAATGGCGGAATATTAAGCAAGAAAGAAAAATTGGTATTTCCCATGCCACCATCAGAATCAATTCTGGAACACACCCATGAAAATCAGTAGATGCTAGGGAGAATTTCTGGCACACTGAAAATCGGATGTGAAAACAAGGAATAGCCGGAAGGTTATGAGATTCTGCTGCAGCGGTGGTTAATTGCATGCCAATTTATTGCCAAAAAAAAAAAAAAAAAGAAAAAAGAAAAAAAAAAAAGAAAAAAAAAAGAAAAAAGAAAAAAAAGAAGGGCTAGTTTTTGGTCACTTACGTATTGTGGAAAATGCATGCCATTCTGTTTTTCCCAGGGAGAACAATTACACAATGCAATAACACTGGATTAGAGCAAGTACTTACACAACAAAATACACAGAGAGCATTTAGTTTACAAATACATTCACCATTACCTAAAATTCTGGGTATGTTTATATCTAATAAAAGAACATCTATTACCAAAACACTATCAAGGTTGACACAGGAAATGGAATTTTAGCTTCCTCCCTTTATAGACACAATGGTTTACTATTTAGAAATGTCGATAAAGCATAAACTCTACAGTGACATTAGTAAAGAAAATTCAAGGGCATCCTCAAAACAATGTGACATCACACATCTCCACCAGGTGGGGCCCACCAATGAAAACAGTTTGTGGTTTTACAAATATTTTCAATAAAATAAATGAACTTGTTTTAAAATTTAAAAACCTTGACAGTGTTTAAGATTTAATTAAAAGGTTAGAAATGTAAAAAAAAAAAAAAACAAACAAAAAAAAACACCATAAGCAGCAGTTTACTCTTAGTGAATCACACCACAGGCCCCACACATTAGCCATCAAAAATAAAGACTATAAACTATACATAAACATTTGAAAGAAGATATCTTAAGAGATGACACACTACCATATAAAACACACTGTTATTCTGTCAACTCACATTCAAATGCTAGATGGTTAGGTGTTTATTACATTCTAGTAGTCAGTCAATCTTAAGGTAAATGCTATCCAAAGCTCTCAGTATTTCATAAAGATTAATGCCGACTTAACATTAAAGAAGCACACACCACTGTGTTTTCATAGTATCTGTTGTACTTCCAACATTATACAGACATTATTAATGCACAATCCCATTCTACAATCATAAAGCCCACTAACCTAACTGCTGCCTCCAATTCTAGTCACTGAGGCATGTTATAATGGAAAAACACTAGATTCATAATCAAGTTTCAATTTAAATCAGTTTTTCATTTGGAGATTTTAAAAAGAAGCACAGGTAACATTGTACTTCAAAATGACATACATACTCCAACTCTCCTGAGAGAACATTATAATCTTAGCATACACTTACTGTCAAGTCACGTGCATATGCTTGTGTTTGTAAGTAAAAACGTAAACCACTGAGCCAAACACAGTGTTAGACCTGTAATACCAGCACTTGGAAGGGCAAGGAAGGATAGTGCATTTGAAAGTGATCTGAACCACTCAGAGCCAGTTTGGGCTATATAACACACCTCTGTACACACTCAAAAAATGCCTCCTCAAAAACAACAAAATTAAACAAAGTTAAAATTAAACAAAGTTAAACTTCAGTATTGTCATTTTACAAAGTCTAAAGCTATTAACTCTTGTAAAACTTTTATCAGTACATGGATTTAACCTCAGCCTGCAATTTTAACATATAAGCAACCCAAAGTAAACAGGGCAATGTCCTATGGGGGCTTAATGACAAGAAAGCTGCTATATATTTATCAAGCACAATGAAGCTTTCTAACAACTGGGAGGCTATAATAGAGTGCCGAAGTAATCAAAATCCTATCATACCACATTTCAAAGTGTTCCACCAGAAAGGGTATATATTTCCCTGACTGAGGAAGAAGAAACTTGGCAGATTAGAATAAAGCAGGCCAAAGATAGGACAATAGCCATAAACTATTCTGGGCCTATGATGCCCAGATGTAATTAAAAACATCAACAGGACCTCTTTACTACTTAACTAGCAAACACTGTTAATTCATCTGTTTGCAGTTAATGAACTTTATAATCCCTAAATTCAATATTCACAGTACTTTCCGCGTTATCCATATTGATCCACACAACAATTCATTCCCTAGCAAGATGGAATAAACCAGAGATTCCACCTACAAGTGTTGAGATTACAGGTCACACACCAGTACGTTTGGCTAAGAATGAGGCTTATCATATCAGCATGTGAACTACATGAAATACGAGAGTAACAACACAGCGTGACTAAGAGCTTCCTATATGTTGCTTCTACACTACTTATTAAGAATGTATCCTATTAATTAAGAACGCTGCACCACTGCCATACTTCTTAGTAACTGCATGTATCCCTGTCCATAACAATTTTTTGTTTTGTTTCGTTTTTTTAAGACAGGGTTTCTCTGTGTAGCACTGGCTGTCCTGGACTCACTTTGTAGACCATGGTGGCCTCCAACTCAGAGATCTGCCTGCCTCTGCCTCCCTGAGTGCTGGTTTTATAGGTGTGTGCCCCCGTGCCCCGCTAAATAACCACACATTATTTATTAAAATGATGTCTGGCATGGAATAATTTTAAATTATGTTAGAGATTAAAATGTGCCTGATGAAGACAAGTCAATGAGTTTTCAAGAAAAAAATGAAGTACTTAGTAAAACTTAGTAATAATCTTTCCACTTATGTCTGTTATGCTACATTTTTGTAACACATTTAGTTAAAATATTCATGTATATTAATGTATCAAAGCTTTCCCAACTCACCATTGTTGCAGCATTCCAGGCAGTTGTTGGTGCAACCTTTGGTTGCCAGTTAGATCCTCCTGTTAACTTCTTTTCACCTGGTTGACTCCAACTTACATCACTTTAAATAAAAATAAACATACAATGTTTCTGTACTATATGAACACACTGAACACTCTATTTATAGTACCAAGCTGACAACTCTATACATGCTTCTGAGGTGACAGTCACATCAGCTTCCACATGATATTTAAATAATACAAATAAGACACTTACTTCTTAGTGGTGCCATTTCCAATGCCAAGATCTAGGAAAAGAGAAAAGTATTTAAAAACCAGAATAATTTTAATAAACAATTTAAGCTTAAGGATGACTAAAGAATAAAAGGCCTACTTACTGCCCACAAGGTTGGCTAAAGACGAATCCAGGTCATCAGACACTAATTTGTTAGGTGGAAGTTTGGCAATAGGAAGACTCTGGTTCTGAGAGGCCACTGTTGGTTTGAGGAGTCCACCTAGTTCATCAAAGCCTTCAAGTTACAAACAGATGAAATGGATGCGTAAGGAACCTCACGTGCTGCAGCTTTCTAAAGGAGTTCTATCCCTTTTCTCCTTGTTTACTCACTGCCAGTTCTCCAGAGCACAGGAAATGCCCTCATGTGCAATGAGGAGAAACCTGCCATCTTCAAGTGAACTTTAACACAAATATTTGTCTAATCTAATGACAAAATTATATCCACGTTAAAGGAGATAAGGGAAATGCTGTAAACAGGGAGGAAGCAGAATGCAAATCTCTATTTCAGCAACATTTTTCTAAATACTTGATCCTAAAGTCCCTTTTATGTTGAGAAAAAAATATTTTAAAATTTCTTTTATGCTGGAGCTTGAGAAATCACTGAGCAATTCTCAGCACCCATATCAGGTGTCTCACAACCACCTGTAACTTAAGCCCAGGGTGTTCAATGTCTCCGTCCTCTGCAGGGCCTTGCCCTCATGTGCACATACCTGGCCCCCCCACACATGTATTTTAAAAATTAATCTTTTAACTTACAAAAAGAAAAAAATTGTGACAGGTCTTCACTATGCAGCTCTAACTGGGCCAAAACTTCTACGTGGAGTGGGCTGACACCAAATCAGGGAGCTCCACCAGTCTTAGTGGTGGGATTAGAGGTATATGACAACACATCCAACATAGCAAGCCCTTTTCAAAAAAGCTTTTTTAAATTCAGTGTGAGTGTGAGTGTGTGTGTGTGTGTGTGTGTGTGTGTGTGAGAGAGAGAGAGAGAGAGAGAGAGAGAGAGAGAGAGAGAGAGAGGAGAGCTGAAAACCTGTGAGTTGGTTCTCTCCTTCCATGTGAATCCTGGGGATTGAACTCAGGTTGCCTTGGCAGAAGTGCAAGGGCACTTCTTATCCTCTTAGGCCCAAGAGGATATACTTCAGAGAACTTTTCACAATTCTCATATTTGGGAGTATAAGAACTTAAAGTCAGGTTGGAGAGATAGGTCCACAGTTAAGAGAACTGATTGCTTTTTCAGAGGACCCAGACTTAGTTCCTAGCACCCACATGGTGGCTCACAACTCCCTGTAACTACAGTTCTGGGAAATCCAAAGCCCTCTTCTGGCCTTCAAGTGTGCCTGCATGTTCATGGTACATATAGAAACAAGCAGACAAAAAAGCCCCCATACACATATATAAAAATAATCTTTAAATAATTTTCAAAATTAACAACAGCGACAATAATAAAAAGAACCTAAATTGTTTTACAAAGGTTCTTTCACCAAAGGATAAAAGGTAAAAAAAACAAATCTAACCAAGCCAGGCCACTCAGGGACTCAACAGCATGACTGATTCAGGAATGCTAGAGCTTAAAACAGGAAATCACCAAAGAGGACGATTTACAAAATATGAACAACTACTTTCTAATTCCCTTTTCCTAGCCAAGCTAAACTAAAAAAGGAAAAGTCAAATGAATTCCCAAAATACAGAATTATATGCCTACTAGTACCCACTAAGTAAATTTTTAGTCCATACATAGAAGCTTGCTTCTTACTTTATGGATACCTATTTATACATTATGTAACTAATAACACTTCAATATGTTTTAAAATTAAAAATGTAATTGTTAGCCAAAGTTTGTAACAATCTCTCTATAGGAATAAAATTAGAACATTAAAGTCTTATGCAAATTTTATAAGCTTCAAGCTACTAAGAATCATATAATCCTCCCCTCTAGAATTTTATAGTTTTTTAAAACAAATTAGTAGGTGCACTTTAATAATAATCACTACTAAGATGATTCTGTAAAAACCCTGTAGAACAAACCTTCTAACTTATTTTGCTCACTTACATAGGAACTATCTAAGCAAGTAGGGTACCACATACTATGTCTTCAGTTTCAAAAATAATCTCACATACCATAATTTCAACATGGTCATAGTTCATTTCAGAAAAATAAAAGTTGTAACTAGAAAGCTACAGTACTTCATACAGTCACTAATAATTTAGCACTTTACCAAGAAATTGTTTTCTTACTGTGCTGTGAAAGTTTGCCTTAACTCTAAAATTCTACCAAAAGGCAAAATAAATACTTCTTGAAGTTGTCATCAAGTGGTTTGCAGACTTTAATTTATAAATGCTAAAACCAGCATCATATTTCCTATAGAGAATCTACATTAACATACTATCAAATTTTAAATAAATAAACAAAAACTTTTTTCTTACCGCCAGAATCTACAGCAACATTCGTAGATTTATTTCCAAACACAGATTCAAAATCAACATTAAGGCCAGTTGAAGGATGTGGCTGTGCAACTGGAGAAGGACTGAATCCTAAGAAAAAGCAAAATGCAAAAATGTTAAATTCTCTACTCACTACACTACATTAATAGTTAAATACAGCAACTATAAATTATCTTTAATAATTGTAACTAAACAGGGGGAAAGCAATAAATTCCTTAAACAAAAAAGCTAGTTTTTCAAGCATAATATTTTCTCTATTACATCATGCTCCCCCTTTGAGACATAGTATCACTCTGTAGTTCAAGGAATCCTCCTGCATCAGCCACCAAGTGCTGAAATTACAGGAATGAACCATCACACCCAGCTATATTTCCACTAAAATCACCAAAGAACCTAACCTTTTGGTCATATATGTATTTTCTCCTGCTATGATGTCCCCATTTTTACCCTTTATGGCAATCTAAGAACAGCTTTATTATTTCCTATTATAGGGGAAACATCTTCTGAAGCATCTTGGATGATTAATTGTGAACTTGCAAAAATTATTAGCTACAAGTACAAAAAGAAAAGTTAAAAAAGAAAAAAAATATTCCAAAAGATGTACCTCAAGTTTAAAAAATATCCTACATACACAGACAAAATTGTAATAGTGCCTGGGGAAGCACGCAACGTATTTCTAAGGCAACCTTTTTTTTCTGTATATCATCGCATGTGTACACACACACACAGCCTTTCGAGGTAAAGAGATTTTTCTTGCTATTTCAAAGAGTATGATTGACATAATGGTCCTCACTTTTTCACTTACTTATCAGTATTATCCACTTCTAAATTTTAAAAGCTACTTAAAACAAAAACAGAAAACCTCAAGGTTGAGCCAACAAGAGAGCTTGGCAGGTAAAGTGCTTGCTATGCAAGCCTCAACACCCTAACAACTCACACCAGAACTCCGTAACGGATGATGAGCCAACTCCATAAAGCTGTCTTCTAACCTTCATACATGTCACAGCACCCTCCCATGCACACACCCATCTTATATACACATAGGTAAGTTAACACTGGGGAAAACAACAACAAACTTTCAGACAAAATGTAGGAGGCATTCAAGGCCAATCTGGGCCACATGGTAAAACTCTACCTCAACAAACAATAAGCAAACAACAATAAACCCAAATAACAGTACTATTTCAATGGGTAAACTTTAGAGTGACAGAGAGACAGACAAACACAAAAGGGGAAAAAGAGCACCTACTCTTGCCTTTCATAAGACCCAGTAAAAACTGCCACTGGTAAGCACCATTCCACAAACAAATATTTTGGAAAAATCTCAAAAGGATGTAACAAATAAACTGAGAGGTACAAAATAGCTAGCACTGGGGACAAAAAACAAAGAAAAAAAAAAAAAAACCCTAAACATCTTTGAAAACAGGAAAGCAAGTTAGTTCAGAGGGTAAAGGCATCAAGCCTAATGACCTTAGTTCAATCCCAGGAACCTACACAGTGGAAGAAGAAAACCATCTGCAATATGCTGTCCTCTGAACTCCACATTCAAGCTGTGGTGCTCACACATGCCCACACCCATACACACTCATTAAAAAACATTTTTCAAAGAAAAAAAAAAAAACTGGTTGGGTTGTCAAAAGATTTCAGTGTTTCTACCAATAAACTTAGCTTCATCATGTCTTATCAGAGTAATCGCTACCATTTATTAAATCCTTTTAAATACTATGCACAATATTTACCAACAGGATACTATTTAAACTTTACATCAACCTTATGACACAGTTATCCCCAAATTTACAGATGGGCAAACTAGTAGACTGTAAACAAACTTTACCTAATGCCAAAGATTGAGTGAGGAGTAGAACTAATGCTTGACTCCAGAATATTATTGGAGTTTTCCGTTTATTCTAAGTATCCACTTTATATAAACATGAGAAAAATAAAACATTACTATACCTAGAATAATTTTTTTATATAATATAATATTTTTTTTTTAGATTTGCTTATATTATGTGTATGGATGCTTTGTCTGCATGCATGTACAATGCATGCCTGTCTTGTGTCCGTGGAGGACAGAAGAGGGTGCCAAATCCTAAGAAAATAAAATTACAATCAGCTGTGAGGTACCATGTAGGTGCTGAAAACTCATCAGGTCACCTGAAAGAGCAGCAAGTAACCTTCCCTGTTGAGCCATATTTCTCCTTTCCAATTTAAAAAAACAAAAAATAAAATATATTTTTTAAATTTTATGTACATTGAGGTTTTTACTAAATCTATTTCTGTATAAGGGTGTCAGATCCCCTGGAACAGGAGTTACTGACAGTTGTGAGCTGCCATGTGGGTGCTGGGAATTGAACCTTCGTCCTCTGGAAGAGCAGTCAGTACAGTGCTCTTTACCACTAAGCCATCTCTCCAGTCCCTCTTTTCCAATTTTTATTTACTAAAAGTATATCAATTTTTAATCTTTTTCTTGCTAATTCTAGGCTCCCAACACAAATGACTCTTGGCAATTGTACAATCTAAGAGCAATGAAAAAAAAAATCAGTCTTAAAGATGCTTAAATAAGGCTGGAGAGATGTCTCAGAGAAGACATCTCTGGGTGTTCCTCCAGAGGTCCTGAGTTCAAACCCGGCAACCACATGGTGGCTTATAACCATCTATAATGCGAACTGGTGCCCTCTTCTGTTGTACTGGCAAATGTTCAGGCAGAATGTTGTATAAATAATAAGTAAATAAATCTTTAAAAAATGAGGCTTAAACAATTTAGATAAGAAGTCTATTCAAAATATGAAGCATTCCACTTATACAAGATTGGTTTTCATGACAGTTTTATGATTGTTGTAAAAAGTGAGCATAGTGTTAGATGTTAAGCAATCACATTTAAACTCATGAATGTTCCACAAATCTCAACTTTCATAGGCTCAAAGACTAAATGTTCATTTAAAGTTATACAATCTTACTTAATTAAAGTAAAACTTGATTTCAAACAAAAATTTGCAGGAGTCCAAACATTTGATTCTATCAAATGCCCTCATTATTCTCTTTTCAGATATAAGAACCTCACTTCTTGATTTTTACTATATGTATACATTTTTGGCTTGTTTTTGTTCTTTGAGGAAGGTCCTCTTCATGTAGACCTTCCTGGCCTTAACCTCAGAGATCCACCTCTCTCTGCCTCCCAAGTGCTGGGATTAAAGGCATAAACACATACAATTAGCTGGTCTTTATATTTACTGTAGTGCACTGGAGAAGAACACATTTGCAGGGCTGCAGAGATGACTCAGTGGTTAAGAGTATCTGTAGCTCTGCCAGAGGATCATAGTTCAATTCCCAGCATCCGTATCAAGTGGCTCACTGCTGACTTTTATAACTCCAGCTCCAGGATATCCAATGCCCTCTTTTGGCCTTGAAGAGCACTCAAAGACACATGTCATACACTTACACAGACATACACACATATATACATGAATTAAAAAACCAATGAACTCAAAGAAGAGCTTTAAATTCTGTAAGCTAGTGATATTAAAGGTAATACACTCTCATGAAGATGTCTAAGTATAGATTAAACAGCACATTAGACACCTATTTTAAAAATCATCATGTGCTTAAATAAATAAGGAAAATAAGAATAGAAAGAGAGAGGATGCATCTTTAAAAGCAAGTTGTGGCGGGGCTATAGCTCAGAGGTAGAGTTTGCTGAGCGTGCCCAATGTTGGTATAATGTTCTTTTGGAATGTATACACTTTACCCTTGTTCATTCAAATGCTGATATCCCCCCCCCCCACTCGCTGGTTTCAATCCGGACATTGCACTGTGATACTTATTCTAAGCATCACCTGTCTCAACTTTGTGTAAACATGCCAAAATAAAGCAGCCAGCCACAATGTTGAACAATGGAAAGGAAGCAGGAAGAGAAGGAGGATCCAGAGGACAGGAAGGTGTGTGAGGCAGAGGAGGAGAGAAGGGCAGGAGAGAGCTGGGAGAGCAGAGCTGGAGGAGAGGTCTTGGAACGGTGTGGAGAATGAACCAGACCTAAGATTTCACTAAAAGCAAGTATAATGAGGGAAATCTAAATGTTAGGAAACTATGTGGGCTTGGAGGTTTAGGCTGGAACAACTATTGCCCAGCATTGTGATCTAGATTAATTAAATAAATCCCAGTCTCTGTGTGGTGATTTGGGTATACAGCTGGTTTAGGATTAACAGCACTGTTACTAAGAGATAGATCAATAGTAAATACAACAATACAACAGCCCAAGTTCCTAGGTTCAAATTCCAGTACTGGGATGGGGCAAGGGCATAAAAGGGGATAAATAGGGGAGTAGGCCTATTTATTCTTAACAAGGTTATAAAAATTCAGCCAGGTAAGGATGCATTTTTAAACCTTGTACTTGAGAGGTATAGGCAAGAGGATCTTTGAATTCAAAGCCAGCCTGGACTACATACTGAATTTTTCAGGACAGCCAGAGCTAAACCAGTGAGACTCTGTCTTGGGAGGTGAGGGTTACAGGAAGAAACCGCTCCTGTATAAACAAATCAATATAGTAACAACAATAGAAGGCTCATGACATATAAGGGCAGTAGTAGGGTAAACCTGAGTACAAAGAAAATCCTGACAAGGCACATGAAAAACAACTCAAGATGAAGGAGAAAAGGAAGAAATGGGGATGGAGAAACTAAAAAGAATTAAAACAAAAAAATCAGGAGAATCCAAGCATCTGGATAATTTAAAACTATAATAAAAATTTTGAAAGAACATAAGGCTCTGAGTATCCTATTAAAAAGATTAAAACCCACTGTATCAGTTTAATAAACAAAAAAAACCTCCTCACTATCTCATTAGGAAAAGTATGAAGTCATTGGATTTTCAGCCAATTATAACCTATCTTCGAAATACCTAGCTTTACAGAAAAAACAGGACTAGACTAAGATTCTAGCATTTTTTTTTTCAACTTTAGTATATACTTTTAAACTTACTATTTTCTACATAACTCATGTAAAATTTGAGTTTTCATATTGCAATGACAGGTTAGTCAACTCTAATTTTTAAATTATCTAATTTTATTAGAAAAAAATGGAACACACACTTTTCACTTTTTCTTCAGAAAAGGAATAAAGTGAAAGCCTTACAAAGAGCACTAAGAATATATACGATATAAGGCAATGAAATTATAATATGCAATAGATTTAATAAGAATAACTGCTCTCCTTCCAATGCACAAATACAAAAATACAAGAACATATAAACACGTAAATTTAAATGCCATTTTAAAATCAATTCACTAAACTAATAAAACAATACTACACAAGATACAGACAGCTGGAGTGTTACACTACAATGGACAACAACACAGAAAATTCAGAATCAAAGAAATCTTATTTCCTAAAAATCTGCATCAAATACAATCAGGAGTAAGGAATGAATTTAACAATCTTACTACATTATCACTCTAGTTAACTTAAAAACTTCAAGTTAAAATCCCAAGTATTTATTATAGTACTTTAAAAGTAACACCTAAGTTAAAAAATAGTATAGACACTAACTGGGAAACAAAAGGTTAAATGGTACTTTACCAACAAACATTTCATGAGTAGGCGTCCTAGTAGTAAAAGTGGATACATCTGAAGAAATGGGAAGGTGAACATCACTACTTTTTGTGAGGAAGGGATTTAAGCTTGGAATGGCATCATCAACAGCATCTAGAGTAGCAGAGAAAGGATCTGTGCAGTCCAAGTGAATTACAGCAAAATGAAGAAAGGAAGTAAATAAATTAGTTTTGTGATTAGTTGAAAGATGCAAAGTGAAAAGTAGTAGTTATATTATTATTAATTTTACACACAAATACATTTAATCAGTAAGATAGAAGAATTGAATTTAACACAAAGAAATTCTTAGGGGAATAATAATCTCCATTAATAACCACAGCAGAACATTACAGATATACTTGTTCTCCCACATGAGAAAGCCAATAGTCACATAGTTAAATAAGAGAATAACCACCAAAATATTCCCATAAAGGCCACTCACCCTGCACCTGTTCTAGCTTACTGTACTGGTTTTCATGGCATAACTCTGCTTACTCAAATCATTGAAATAAATACTTGGTAAAAGTATGGTATTAGTAAATTTCCAGAAGAATAAAGTCATTTCAAATTAAGGTGAGAAACAAATTCTAATATTTGTAAAACTCCTGTTTAAGTTCAACAGTCAGAAAACTAAAATAAAATGAATGAAAGATTTAAGGAGAAAGGATCTACTGACAATTTAAAACAGAGATGACTATCCAGTCTGGGAACAGCTTTGAAAGTCTTGAAGTGGTTTCCTACAGGATAACAAATGTTCCCATCATAAAACTAACAAGCTTTTCTCCTTCAAATTCTCTAAAGTTATTCTCCAATTAGGTATTTCCTGTTCCTGTGCCTCATTCAAGATACTGTTCTAGTGGTGAAAGCCTTTTCTTAAGATTTAAGTGGTTAACTAAAGGGAGAAAAATACAGGGTAGTAGACATATAGCAAATTTTTTCAGGAAGATGGTTCTATACTCTCAACCAGCTGCCTCTTTCAATCTATTCCTGCTTTAAGACTACATAAAGCAACAATAACCACACAAAGAACTAAGATCCAGCTAGCTCACTCACAGGCACACTTCCCTTAGAGTCAATCAAATCAAGGCAAGCATTCATTAACCCTAAATGTAACAACTTAAGTACTTTTCTAGGAAGAAATCCTATAGAATATCAATTCACACTAAGAAAATCAGATCTAAACTCAAAATATACTAATTAACTGCTCAAACATAACTGATACTTTAATAGCTTTTGCATGCATGCAAAAACAAAAAAAAAATGCAACAGTGGGGGGAGAAAGTAAGAAAAAATAATTCAGAAATAAACAACAGTAAACAGATACAAGAAGTGTTGGTACTAAAGCCAGAATATAATTTTGCAGGGAATCACGGAATTGGTCTGGTCTAACTGCGTTGAGAGGCATGTGACATAGGTTTTTCAGGTTTGAGTCTATTGTTCCTGTGTGTGTGTGTGTGTGTGTGTGTGTGTGTGTGTGTGTGTGTGTGT